AAGACACGTTTTAAACAAAAGGGACGCAGAGGTCAACTTTGACCTTTCCAGTAACTCCCCTACTTACATTGACTCCATAGGAATCCCTCGGGGGGTCCCTAATGAGTACAAATTAGCTGACCAGATCGCGGCAGGGTTCGAAAATATTCCTATCATTTCAGCTTTTCTTCCCATTACCCCTAACAAAAATGTAGACAGGATTAACTTTGTACATTACAATGTCCTACGTTTGGCGAACCTCACTAGGGACGCAGTAGAAGGCATAGCTGAACAGTTAGAGCCTACCTCCCTTATGGCTGTACAAAATAGAATGGCGTTGGATATGCTTCTGGCGGAGAAAGGGGGTGTTTGCGCAATGTTCGGTGATATGTGCTGCACGTTTATTCCCAACAACACGGCGCCTGACGGTTCCGTGACTAAAGCCTTAGAGGGTCTACGTACCCTATCCAAAACCATGCATGAACAATCAGGGATCAACAATCCTATGGAGGAATGGATGACAAACATGTTTGGTAAATGGAAAAGTTTAATAATGTCTCTTCTAATTTCTGTGGCTACTTTTATTGCCATTTTAGTGACATGTGGTTGTTGTTGTGTGCCTTGTATCCGCTCATTGTGTGTTAGACTCATCAGTTCCACCATTGAGGGAAAAGCTGCCCCTTCCCCTTCATACCAAATGCCCTTGTTGGCTTATGCGTCGGAGGGGGAAGAGTACGATGACTCAGCCGACAAGGACGAACTTTTTTAAACATATTTTAGTCTCCCTCCACTGTCATAAGAAGTTGTTGTAGTGGACTGTTCCTACAGGTTTAAAGTGCTCTAAATCCCAGCTTCTGATGGATTTATATAAATGTTGGGACAGACACAGTAGAAAAGAATGACAGTGGTTATGTTTCAAATGCTATATGTTGATCTCGTGAGGTGAGATCAAAAGAGGGATTGAAGTAAACAGATATGGTTCTAAACTGTATTGAAGTAAACATGTATTATTTTGAATTGTATTTTAGTGAACATGTATTGTTTGAACTGTTTTAAGTAATCACATATATACATATTGTATTCTCACTTACAACTCACTGACCCAGAGATCCTGTTACACACACATACACCTCCTCCCACCAGCACACACACATATTCTTTTCAAGGTTCTTTCTGGGCATCAATATATCTGTGTACAATGTTTGGTTGTATGGGAAAGTAAGGGAGTGAATATCGGTGCAGAGATAAGATTGACTCTGTCCTTGTGAAACTTCCGAATCTCACGCTGTGGTCAGAAGAAAACATACTTTTTCTCAGAACTCTGATTCGCTGTATTGGACCCGACCAGAAGTGAATCCAACCAGTAAAAACACCTGGGGGAGTGAGCAGCTCACACAGCTCCTCCCCACGGACTCTCTGATTCGCTTCGGAGTAAAATGGGAAGGAAGAAGTGAACACATCTCCGCCCCAAAATATTGCCATAATACTGTTGTTTTTGCATGTAAAATGCTTCTTGTTTGCTGACTGGCTGGTCCCGATACCTGTATCGTACAGCAGTAGAAACCTGAAGTCCGGAGTACTCTGTAAAACTTGTATACGTGTTTTGTTTCTTACCAGTAAAATCAGATTATTGTTATAACCTTTAATTCCGGTGTTTTGAATTCCTTTCTTTATTAAATATAACCAGCCTCATCTAACGAACGGCGCGTAGCGGAGGGGGGCTTTCAGCCACCATCCAAAAGTATTTGCTACAACAGCGTCCGGATATCGGCATCGCAACCACAACCTCACACACTGGTACTGAATGTGCATCAAAGTGTTCCTATCCAACCAAATATACCAAAAGATGAATGTAAACGACAGAAGAAGCGATCGAAATGTGTATTTCCTGGTTATTCGACAAAAGCCACGCCCCTAATATATCTGCCTACCGTTATAGAATATCACCAGTTGTTCGTCCCACATTTTATTCGGTAACACCGGCCTGCTGGAGAGGCTAAGGAACCGCCCGGACAAACCACCGTTGCCGAGTATCTTTCTAACAAATGCAAGATCTCTCGCTAACAAGATGGACGAACTGAGACTACAGGTTGCAACGAACAGGACTGTGAAGGACAGCTGCGTGCTAATAGCCACAGAAACCTGGCTCCACTCATCCATTCCGGACTTAGCTATCGAGCTAGCTGGCCGTACCTCCCATAGACTAGACAGGTCCAGAGAATTGTCGGGGAAAACGTGTGGTGGTGGCCTCATTATATACACTAAGGATTCTTGGGGCACAAACACAATCACTGTGAGTAACCACTGTTCCCCGAACCTAGAATTTATGACAGTTAAATGCCGACCTAGATACCTTCCGAGGGAGTTCAATGTAGTATTGATAATTGCAGTATATATCCCACCAGATGCTAACGCTAGTGCGGCGCTAAGTCAGCTACATGATACAATTAGCAGTCAACAAAGCCTGTATCCTGAGGCTGTCCACATCATTGCGGGGGACTTTAACCATGCCAACTTAAAGGTAGTGCTTCCCAGACTCTACCAGCATGTTAAATGTGCCACGAGGGGGGATAAAACACTGGACAAGGTCTACACTAATATTAAGGGGAGCTACAGAGCTAAAGCGCTAGCCCACCTAGGCCAGTCAGATCATGTGTCCCTTCTCCTAATTCCGGCCTACTCCCCCATCAGGAAAAGTGCTTCCACCACTATAAAGACAGTTAAAACCTGGCCTTTAGACGCCACTCCACAGCTGCAAGACTGTTTTGAGAACACCGACTGGGTTTTTTTTTAACATGAGGACCTGGAACAGTACACATCAGCGGTCCTGGGATACATCAAGCACTGCACAGACTCCGTCACTGTGGATAAGCGCATCCGGGTTCATCCCAACAAGAAGCCGTGGATGACTGGAGAGGTGCAGCGCCTGGTCAGGGAGAGGGACATCGCCTTCAGGACTGGTGAGAGGGAGCTGTACAGCACTGCCAGAGCCGACCTGAAGCGGGGGATCAAGCGGGCCAAGGAGGACGCCATCGCCACAGCTCTCCACTCTACCCTGTCTCATCTGGAGAGAAGTGGGAGCTACGCACGGATGCTCTTCATGGACTTCAGCTCGGCATTTAATACCATCCTCCCCGACAGACTGGTGACCAAGCTATCAGTCCTGGGAGTATCCCATTCCTTGTGCCTATGGATTAAGGACTTCCTGACTGATCGCCCCCAGAGGGTGAGGATAGGCCCCCACACCTCCACGTCCCTCAGTCTCAGCACCGGGTCACCACAGGGCTGCGTGCTGAGCCCCTTACTATACGCCCTCTACACCCACGATCTCGTCCCCGCCCACACCAGCAACTCCATCATAAAGTTCGCTGATGATACCACCGTGGGCTGCATCTCCGGGGGTGACGAGACCGCGTACCAGGACGAGGTGGAGCAACTGTTAGTGTTGTGCAAAGTAAACAACCTGCAGCTGAACAAGCTGCAAACCCAGGAAATGATCATTGACTTTAGGAGGAAGAAGACCGACATGCAGCCCCTGTACATTTATGGAGGCTGTGTGGAGAGAGTCTCAGTGTTCAAATTCCTGGGCGTTCACCTAGCGGAGGACCTGTCCTGGAGGACCAACACCATGGTGACCGTCAAGAAGGCACAGCAGAGACTCTACTTCCTGAGAATACTCAGGAATTACCACCTCAGACAGGACCTGCTTGTGTCCTTTTACCGCTGCGCCGTGGAGAGCATCCTCACCTACTGCATCTGCGTGTGGTTCCTCAGCTGCACATATGTACATATTTATTTATGTAAATATTCCCTATCATGTCTATTTAAGTCCCATTTCTTGTTTTTTTTGTCTTGTTTTTATATTGTCTTGTTGTTGCGCGTTGGCACCTTGAGTTCACATTGTAATTTCGTTGTACTTGTACAATGACAAATTAAAGATCTTATCTTATCTTATCTGTTGCTCACTGAGTTGATTCTTGCTAAGTAGCCAATATAAGGCTTAGTCATCTTGCCAAATAGTGAGCCTGTGTTGATGTATGAAAACTGTTAGAACTGGTTTATAAATGGTTCTTTTGATTAATAAAGTGTTTACAACCTAATTCATAACCTAATTATAAACCCTTTATGAATCCTTTATAAGGGTAGTCTTATTGTAAAGTGGTACCAGAAATAATACCATGTATTAATGCAGCACTTTTTAAAACAAAAAGGATATCCTGCAGAGAAAGAAAGCATCATACTGGTTACTATTTCCCGTGTTTGAGGTGCTTTATTGTGGTCAATACAGAATAACACTCATATTGATCAGTGTTACGTGCCGTAGTGTGTGTGTGGGTGTGTGTGTGTCTTTCTCTCTCTCCCTCTGATTCTCCAGGTGCAGCCTGATTGTCTCCAGGTGCAGCCTCTCTCCCAGGTGCTCCCAATCCCCAATCAGGGCCTCCATATAGGACCTGAGGAAGGCTGCAGTCGCTCTCCCTTTCTCCTCTGGCTGCATGGGTGCAGCACGTCGTCTTGGGTCTCTGTGTGGGACCTGGTTGTCCATTATTGTTGGATTAAATCTCATGTGTGAACAAAGAGATCAGTTTCCTCTTTCTCGTGCTGGTCGTTCTGTGTTTTGTTACTCCCCTTCGTACCCCTAGATTTTGGAGGGAACGTAACAAATGGGGGCTCGTCCGATCTTTGAGACAAAGAGTGAGTATCTGTTTGTGGTTTAGCGTTGATATTGTGTTTGGTAGCATTGGCTGTGAAGTCTCTTGCTGTTTAAAAGCTTCCTCAGTTTAGATAGGGGAGTGTCTAGCTGGGCTGAATCAGTCTTTCCTTCAGGCACTCGTTTTTTATTTTGCCTTTTTTATTTTCGGGGTAATCCTGGGTGGGGATTTATTCCCTGTTGGGGGCAGGCGTTTCAGGGTTTCGGCCGCTGATGTTTGCCTTTAAAGTCGCCTCGAGCCCGGCACGCTCCAGAAGATAGTTAGGTAAGTTTGGTAGGCAGGATCTGGGGAAGTTTGTTAAAAAAAAGAAAAAAAAAATTGCAGCTTTTTATTTAGTCAAGCGAAAAACAAACAAAAACAATCCGCGGGAATAAAATCCAACTAAGAAAAGATGAAGTACGTTTTTACATGGAAGTAGGCAAAAAATTAAAACTGTACAACATGGAAAAATCTCTCATACAAACCTCAGTAAAATACTGGTCAAAGTGCTAGTGCATAAGGAGAATGAGCTGTCAAAATACTGACATGTTTTTTTGGCAATACAAACGTCACATCCGATAAATCCATTGTCAAGTTAACAGAAAGGAAAAACAGAGCAATATATTTCACATCTTTAAAAGGTAACAATAGGCCTATATATGACAGTTTTCAAACATTGTAAAGGCAATACCTTTACAGTGATTATTGTTGTGTGATTATTATGTATTGGGTAGTTAAGTAAAAAACCTCTATGATAGAAAACGGCTGTAAAGGATTAACTCAGATTGAGGGCCAAGTGGAACCAGCATTTAAAATGACAGGGAAAAAACTGAGAAGAAAACTTTGCCTCATTATTTGGTGGCTAACAGTGCTAATATCTGAAGAAACAAAGCTAGCTAAAAGATCCAAATTGGTGGAAGCTATCAAATATGCTGAATCACTTCGCAAAATTAGCCGTTAGCTGTATAATTAAATCCAGTTGTCTGACAGGAGTTGTCTATTTAAACTGATTGTCTGGTTTATGACTGAGCTAGCTAGCTTGTTAGCTAAAACCCAGCTAACATTGTGAGCTATTTTAGCTTAATCATGCCAGATTGATAATGGCAAGCTAGCATAATTGGTTAGCTAACAAGCTAACAGTAACTAGCCAAATAGCCTGCTAAGAGCTAACTGCATCAACAAACCCTAGTGCTATCTACTTTGTAAGGATACATTTTGCTCAGTCATTGAACTGGTGTGACGGCATTCATATAGTCTAGAGCCATGTTAGCAGCCCCAATAGGATTTAAGGCTTAAAACACCTACAAAAACAAAGTTGTTTGATTGGTAAAACAACACTGTCATTCTAAGATTTCCAATAGAAGAGCTGGAAACTAAATTTAACTTAAGGTGTGCTTGAGCTGAAATGTGCACTCAATGCTAACATGCTAAAGATTAACAAGCATTTGACCAACTAATGTTGTTAACAAGGTGGTATTTAGCATCCCATCTTTAGTCTGCAATGTTTCGCAGCAACAAAATCCCAAAATGTGGGGGTTTCAACATTTTCGAGAATTCATCACTGGAGCAAAACACAAATTTAAAGATAACACAAATCTAAAGTTATCATGAGGTTTCATTTAGAACAGAACTTATTTTACTAAATAAAAAAACAGTACATTGCTTACAGGGTTAAACACTTTAAGCCCAATGCTAACATGCTAACGGTAGCTTGCTAAAAGTAACATGCTTCCAGGTAGAAGTATTTTAGCAAGTTCATATCCTAAATTAGCAAATCTCAAGGTACAGGAAATCTCACAGGGTTAAGTCAGTTGTTCTAGAGGTATGCAGTATGGGTTATAACATGTAGAATTTAATCAATAACAAAATGAGATTTGTTGAGAAAATGTTTGATTATGAGTCTCATAAAACAATTTTAAATCCCCAAAATAAATCAGCTCCTGAATACCATATATATACATTTGACACTGAAAGTGAAGTGGTGTCTTCCCTTAACAGTAGCAATGCTAACTTTACATTAAAATGCATCAGCCGACTCCAGCAACATCAATTTGTGATAAAGTTGGGACACAAATGAAAAACCTAAAGCAAGGCACAAACAGGAAATGAGTAAAAGCTAAGTGACTACAATAAAAGACAAATGATTTGGCATCTGGTTTGAACAAAACTAAGAAAATCCCAGATGATAGAAGTTGCTGGGGGAGCGTTACAGTTCAGCTTAGTTTGTTGACAAGTGTTTGAATCCACAAGGTTTACTTGAACTGTAAAAGGAAAGCCTATCAGCTCTACAGTATTAGCCCATAATAGTCTATATCTGTGTACACACCCTGGACTATTTATGGTATAAACAATACTGTTGCTGCCGTACTTATACCTAAATTATGTGACTTGAATGTTGATGGAGCAGCGAAATTGTCAGGTTAGCCTTGATGTCCCAAACTCCATTCACAAAACAAGCATTTTAAAAGCAGTTGGCTTTTTGTCTTTTGGAAAGTCCTGACAAAGCATGAATTCAGACTTTTTACAAATTGGTATCATTATGGAGTTATTTCAGATAAATGCACCGCAACATGTGATTATTTGGGGTTTAAAATAATCAAATTATACCACAATAAGACAAACATTTTCTTTGCATTTCGTGTAGAAACAGCATTAAAACGTCCTTGTTCGAATTCAGAGGGAAACGTGATAGGGAATACTATAAATCACTTTATTGTGTTTGATTATGAGGATCTCCAGGATGCTTATTGACACCTTAAAGTCCTCATCACAACATCCTTGAGTGGACACTAAGCTCTGCTCTGAGTATCCGAACGGCCCGATTAAACCGTTCCCAAAGCACTGAGTTCACCAACGTCCAGTTTGTGCCAGAGTGACTGTCCGAACGCACCTGTAGGTAACGCACCTGTAGGTAACGCACCTGTAGGTAACGTAGCTGCTGATGTTAAACCGTCATCCTGTAGCAGCGGAGTTCAGCCGACAGACAGGAAGACTCCGGCACACAGCTCGCGCATCATTGAAAAAATAACTAAATATTTGTATTATGAAAAGTTCACATCCCTGCTTCTTGAAGGAACACCGGGGGATCATCTGGGCGCAATTTCCTGCATCATGACGGGCAGGTGCATGCTGGGACACGAGTCTCTGTGCCTCAGTTTGAATATGAGCTGCTCTTTCTCCTGAGAAAGGTTCTGGTTAATCACCGCCTGCCTCTCCAGCGCCACCTTCAGGTCCTGCTGCTCCTTCGATAGCTGCCTGCAAGACAGAAAAGAGGGATTACAGAAAGATGTATTTATTTCCTTGCAGCATGTTACACTACGGATAAATAAAAGAATATAAATATAAATATAAAAATATAAATAAACTAATAGGCGAATACATTTATTAATACAGTGATACAAATACAAATTGATACAAATAGTCTCACCATTTTTATATTTAATATCTGATTTAAATAGTTTGAACTAGTAGAGTGCCGCAGTGACGCGTCCTAAAACCCGGAAGTAAGCTTCTTCCGGTTCCTTCGACAAAAACGCACTGGGCTTTCTCCATAGGATTTTGGAAAATAGCTGGAACTAAGGTCTGTGGTTGAGACACATTTAAGAGACGGATCACGTTTTGTTCAGCCGGGTAATCTCCACATGTCTCTACTTTTATAATGTTCTAATCATAAATCTAGTCGCCAGAAGCAACATGCTAACGTTATGCTATAAAGGAACTACAGCAGGGTCGCTGCTTCAACGTCACGCCAACTTCAGATCCATATTCAAAACTACAGATTCTAAATGGTACGAGTTGAAGCGTTTGTTTGAACAGTCTGCAGGAGGCAGGTTCTTGCTTTCAAGCAGAACAGGGCAAACTAACTTAGAGGAGTGTTTACGTGTTCGGCGTAATGACGTACAACGTCCTCCACGACTTCTGTAGTCCTATTCAGCCACTTGTTAACAACCAAGGTTCAAGGTTCTTTATTGTCAATCTGACATAGCTACAGAGTAATTATGCAGTTGAAAATCTTATGTCACAGGCTTCTCCAACAATGCAACATAATAACATAACATAATAACAATAAGAGCAAGAGCAATACAAAAATAATAATAGTTATAAAAATGAAATAAAGTGATGATGTGGAATAGTGCAGTATGAGTCTATATACAAGTTATTGGAATGATATATATATATATTAGGTATTAGATACATACTACTGAGTAGCAGTTGAATGTTTGAAGTTGTTTCAACAGTTCAATTTTTTAACAGTCTCACTGCCCGCGGGAAGAAACTGTCTCCGAATCTTCTTGTCCTTGCCCGGATGCTGCGGTAACGTCTGCCAGACGGCAACAGAAAGAACAGTTTGTGGCTGGGGTGATGGGGGTCTTTGATAATCCGTAGTGATTTCTTCCTGAGCCGCTGGGAGTAAAGGTCCTCCATGGATGGCAGCTCCGTCCTGGTGATGTGCTGTGCAGTTTTCACCACCCTCTGTAAAGCCTTACGATCGAGGTCGGTGCAGCTGCCGTACCAGGCCGTCATGCTGCCAGTGAGGATACTCTCTATCGTGCACCTGTAGAAGTTGCAGAGTATCCTGGAATCCATTTTGAACCTCCTCAGCCTGCGGAGGAAGAAGAGCCGCTGTCGAGCTTTCTTGGTGATGGTGGTGGTGTGAAGAGACCATGTCAGGTCCTCAGTGATGTGGACCCCAAGGAACCTGAAGCTGCTGACTCTCTCCACCGTAGTCCCATTGATGGCGATGGGGGCGTGTCCCTCTCCCTGCTGCTTCCTGTAGTCCACAATCAGCTCCTTTGTTTTGCTGATGTTGAGATGGAGGTTGTTCTCCTGGCACCAACATGTCAGGTTTTCGACCTCCTCTCTGTACGCCGTCTCGTCATCGTCTGTGATCTGGCCGATGACGGTCGTGTCATCAGCAAACTTCACGATGGTGTTGGAGCTGTGTGTGGCCACGCAGTCGTGGGTGAACAGGGAGTAGAGGAGAGGGCTGAGCACGCAGCCTTGAGGGGCTCCGGTGTTGAGAATCAGGGTGGAGGATGTGATGTTTCCCACCCGCACTGCCTGGGGTCTGCCCGTCAGGAAGTTCAGGATCCAGTCACAGAGGGCGCTGTTGAGCCCGAGGTCTCTGAGCTTGATGGCCAGCTTGGAGGGCACAATGGTGTTGAATGCTGAACTGTAGTCAATGAACAGCATTCTCACATATGTGTTCCTGTTCTTCGGGTCCAGGTGTGAGAGGGCAGTGTGGAGGGTGAGGGCTATGGCGTCGTCTGTGGACCTGTTTGCTCTGTAGGCAAACTGCAGGGGGTCCAGAGATTCAGGGAGGGAGGAGGTGATGAATAATTTGACTAACCGCTCAAAGCACTTCATTATGATGGAGGTGAGTGCTACTGGGCGGTAGTCGTTGGGGCAGGTGATGATTGTCTTTTTGGGGACAGGAATGATGGTGGAGTGTTTAAGACATGTGGGGACTACAGACTGCAGCAGGGACCTGTTGAAGATGTCTGTGAACACCTCTGCCAGCTGAACTGCACACACCCTGAGAACACGGCCAGGGATGCCATCAGGTCCAGGAGCCTTGTGTGGGTTAACCCTTTTAAAGGATTTACACACATCTGCCCTATTTAAAACAAAAGGGCAGTGTAGCTCCTGGTCCCTCTGTACCTCCACAGCCTGGCTGCTCTCAAAGCGTGCAAAAAACCTGTTCAGCTCATCTGGGAGAGATGCGCACGCAGACACTCCCGCAGCACCCCCCGCTGCTCCTTTGTAGTCAGTCATTGTCCTTAGTCCCGCCCACATATTCCTAGTGTTACAGCCTTTGAAGTCAGATTCCACCTTGTCTTTGTACTGTCTCTTTGCATTTTTTATTGCTCTCCGGAGATCATACCTAGACTTCCTGTACTCCTCCAAATCTCCCGCTGTGTGCGCGAGAGTGCGCGCTTTCAGTTTGCCGCGCACCTCACCGTTTACCCAGGGCTTTTGATTTGGGAATGTCCGTACAGAAACCTTCGGTACCACGTCATCGATGCATTTCCCAATGTAGCAGATGACAGTGTCCGTGTGTGTGTTGATGTTATTGTCCTCAAACACACTCCAATCCGTAGATGCAAAGCAATCCTGCAGTGCTGAATCTGACTCCTCGCTCCATCGTTGTACTGTCCTTGTTATCGGTCTGTCCCTTTTAAGTTTCTGCTTGTAAGCAGGCAACAACAGTAGTGAGATATGGTCTGATTTGCCGAAGGGAGGGCGAGGGAGAGCCTTATATCCATTCCGGAAAGGGGAATAAACATGGTCCAGTATGTTTCCCCCGCGCGTCGGGAAGTTGATGTGTTGGTAATATTTTGGCAAAAACTTCTTCATGTCGGCGGTGTTGAAATCTCCGGCCACAACGAACGCCGCATCTGGCCGTGAAGTCTCGGTTTTATCAATAAACCCAAACAGCTGATCGAGTGCCGTGTTGTTGTCGGCGAGTGGCTGCGGCGGGATATACACTGCTGTTATCACAACAGATGTGAATTCCCTCGGCAGATGGAAGGCCCGACATGAGATCATGAGGTGCTCTAGCTGTGCGGAACAGTCCGATGAAATAATCTTCACATCTGAGCACCAGTTGTTGTTAGTCATTACACACACACCGCCTCCCTTACTTTTCCCCGAGTTTGCAGTCCGGTCCTGACGAAAAATAGAGAATCCATCAGGGACAATAGCGGAGTCCGGGATAGCGGGGTTGAGCCAAGTCTCAGTGAGAATTAACACGTTACAGTTCTTAATGTCCCGTTGAAAAGCAATCCAGCTTCTGAGTTCATCTAGCTTATTTTCAATGGATTGAACATTAGCCAGAAGAATACTCGGAAGAGGGGGCCGATTCTCTCGTTTTCTCAGTCTGACCAGCAACCCGGCCCGGCATCCGCGCTTTGTCTTCTTCTTGCATCTCTCAGGTAGAACAGCAACAGGTAGCCATGGTGAATCTCCATTGTCTGTCGGAGGGTTAATATTGTCCACGAAGTTTCGCATTTGGAAAAGTTCCTCTCCGCTATATTGTATGGCAGAGTAGGTGCGGTCGGCTAGCATGTTGCGAACCATGTTAAAAGTAAAACGGCAAAAGTAAAAGAAATATGTACAAAATACGAAAATGGGCAAAGTTGGAGAGGAGCACAAAGACGATGCGGCCATCTTCACCGGCGCATAGCAGGGTCAACCATCGTTTTTCAGACACGTCAACTCTTCAGAAATCACCAGTGGGGTCACTGCTGATGGATTTAATGTCCTAGAACAAAACGTGATCCGTCTCTTCAATGTGTCTCAACCACAGACCTTAGTTCAGATATCTTCCTAAACCCTATGGAGAGATCCCATTGCTTTTTGGCGAAGGAACCGGAAGAAGCTTACTTCCGGGTTTTAGGACGCGTCACTGTGGCACTCTATACATGTGTGTAATATAAATAATAAATAAACGAATTAATGTGTGTATAAAAAGGCATGTTTTTAAAACAGGATTTAATCATCTTTCGTTGTTTTGGTGCAGGTGTCTGTTGTCCTGCAGGGGGCGCCACATTAATGCATCATTTATTATTGCACAAAGACAAACTCAAATAAAGCAGCAGCAAATAGGAAAAGCATTCACACAAAGACAACAAAACACATATTTAAATACATATATCCTTTTATAAATATTATAATATTACTACTTACTGCATGAAGGTCTGGCAGTTGTCTATCCGGACCCTCAGGTCCTCGTTCTGCTGCAGGACGAGGATGATCTGATCCTCCAGAGACAGATTCTTCTCCACCTGGAGGAGGAGGAGGAGGAGGAGGAGGAGGAGGAGGAGGAGGAGGAGGAGGAGGAGGAGGAGGAGGCGGATGGAGGAGGGAGGAGGAGGGAGGAGGAGGAGGAGGAGGAGGAGGAGGAGGAGGAGGAGGAGGAGGAGGAGGAGGATGGAGGAGGAGGAGGAGGAGGAGGAGGAGGAGGAGGAGGAGGAGGAGGAGGAGGAGGAGGAGGAGGAAGGAAGGAAGGAAGGAAGGAAGGAAGGAAGGAAGGAAGGAAGGAAGGAAGGAAGGAAGGAAGAAAGAAAGAAAGAAAGAAAGAAGAAGAGAAGCAGGTGATGATTTAGAAATCAATTAGGTGATGTTTTTAGTTTATATTGATTATTATTTACATTTGTTTTACAATCATTTTAATAGGGGCAGAAAAAATAAATAAATTGTATTCACATTGTCACTTTTCCTATAAAAATACCTTCCAAAGACTTTAAAAAAACGAAACGCAAAAAACAAAGAAATGAAAAGTTTGGTAGTTTAGTTAAATCGGCAAAAAAAATCGTTAAATATTTTGATTATTGATTAATCATAAAAAAAGTGAATGATCATAAACAAAGTCTGAACAAGCAAATATAGACATTTTACTCCGTTATATTTAAGATTGAAGTGAATATCTTTGGGCTTCAGACTGACAAAACAAGTCCTGTAAAGGTGACCTATCCTGCAAAATGCACTTTTTGATGTCTTTCATATATAAAGGTGTGTCCCCTGCGTGTCCCCGGCGTGTGTCCCCTGCGTGTCCCCGGCGTGTCCCCGGTGTGTCCCCGGTGTGTCTCCCCGGTGTGTCCCCGGTGTCCCCCCGGTGTGTCCCCGGTGTGTCCCCGGTGTGTCGGGGAACTCACGCAGCGTCAGAAAATAAAACCCTCTCTTTTCCTCCGTACCCAAATCTCTAAAAACGGGGAACAACGGAGCTGATCCAGATTTGCGTCCGATATGACGTAATATCTGAAATGTGGACCCACGGCCCTATCAGAAACGTTGCTATCAGAAACAATGCCCGACTGTTTTGGACGTAATATGGTCTTTGTTTACATTAGCATTGCTAACACTCAGAGCTAACCTGTACTGGAGAGCATGTGTGTGAAGAAGCAGGAAATCAAAAGGAACTCACCTTGTGGTATAACCGGCAAGAGAGAAAGCCTTTGAGCTCCATACTGTTTCAGAGAGAATCCTTGATCATCCATGATATGGCGTTTCATCACGGCAGCATTTAGTTTAGACGGTAGCTGCAGGGTCCCGCATGAGCTCAGACCCCCCCTTTTTTATTTTTTATCAATTTTTAAATGTTTTAAAGCTTTATAAATCAGCACTTTAGAAACAGGAAGTGAAATAGAGGGATATGAGGCATGGCTAGAATGGGTGATCTGTTTGGTATTTGGAGCAAAACACTTCATAGACATGTTTTTTATATATTTGTATATATCTGAGACCTATGCTGTTGCCTAAGAATAGCATGATAGGCGACCTTTAATAGAAAGAATGAATCAATAACAAATATAAGCATTCCTCGTGATAGATAGCATCACTATATTTTCCTACCAGATCCTCCATCTGCAGCAGCTTCCGGCTCTGCTCCTGCACGCGCTCGCTCTTCATCTCAATCACAAACAGCAGAGACTCCTGCTCGGACTCCCAGAATGCACCGGGGCTGCCATGGGCCTGGAGGGTGTTGATAAAGTACACAGTTACGCTTTATAGGAGTAATTCATGTAGTGATCAAATGATATGCATTTATATTTATTAAGCAGCTTTTAAAGTGTTCATTAATTAAATCATGTGTAAATACAAAAAATGCAAATCAATTAATTGTTATATAATGTCTATTTTACCATCTTTATATACTTTAATAAATTGCAGGTGTGTTTTGTCCAGCAGGTGGCGCCACTTTAATGCATTATTTATCATTGCAGAGAGAGTCACAAAAACAACATATACAAAACTAAATTAAAGAAATATTTAAACATCTTACATAGTTTAGTAAAAACCTGTCAATGTTCTGGTGCAAGACATTACACACTTTAACTCTCTGCTGCGATTATTTAAAACCTTTACGTTTGTAGTTGTATCCTTTGCATATGTAAAAACAAAGATGGCGTCCCACCTGAATGTTCCTCTGCAGGTCCTTCTTGAACGTGGACTGTTCAACCCTCTTCCTCAGCTCGTTGTAAACATGCAGGTCTGCAGAAAGCTGCTCCACTTGACCCTGCAGTCAAATATAAAGTCATGATAATAAAGAATGATGTTACAGAGTAAGACACACAGCAGGTCACATGTACAGGTGTGAGATGCGCGCGCACGCACACACACACACACACACACACACACACACACACACACACACACACACACACACACACACACACACACACACACACACACACACACACACACACTGTATAGTTACCTTCAGGATGTTTTCTGCAGCCTGAAATGTTTCCGTCAGTTCAGTTTTCTCTTCTTCGTGTTTCTTCTGCAGCTCTGCAGGAAAACAACAAAACACATTTTAATTTAGCTGATTTTCTTTGCATTTATTTTCATTAGCAGCTTTGAAACTGTCCCAGCTTCAGGTGCATGGTCGTCTTTTATTGAGCACAAACATATAACACAAATACAGCAAAAGACGTAAGAAATAAAATACAGATTATTTAAAAATCATTGTGATTTAAATCAAACTATTCTTTTGTGCCTTTTTCCCAAAAATATATTAAAAAATGATTATTTTATTTTCCGTGACTTTCATATGATGGTACATACGTCAATTATAGTACATTATTATAGTTAACACATTTGTTTCCCCTATTTGAATTTACATTACTTATAATTAAAACATTTTATGTATTTATTTAAATTAATATTATTTGTTCTTATTTTGTCTTGTGTTTGTTTTTCCCGTTGTGAAGAACTTTGTGACATAGCACACTTTTTTTACAAATCACCATCATGATGGGGTTATTCATAATGAAAACATAAAATGACTGTGTGTTACCGTTCACGTTCCTCTCGTGTTCTTCAGTTGCAGATTTATTTTTCTGTTGGTGCAGAACGTTTAGACCCGCCACCGTCTCCGTCTTCACCTGAAGAGACGAGTTTCAGTTTCAGATTAAAAGATAAAACTCAGGAAGGAAACGAGGACGTCATGATGTAAACTTAAAGGGGCCCTATTCTGCTTTTTGTGGTTTCCCTTTCCTGTCGTGTGTGAATACAGCTTTGAGTGCATGTGAATGGTCTGCAGAGGCTCCCTATGTTCCCTCAATAGGGACACCTGCATTCAAAGAGAGAGCAACCTGCAGACAGTTTGTTTTATTAATAAATCAGTAACCAGAGATTTAATGCCGCACAGCTGCCGTCTACAAATACACCTCTGGCTGGGTTTCTGCTCCAGAAGCACATTTTCCACTTCTTCTGCCAAATATATCGTAATACTGCGTTTATATTGAGCTTTAGAGGGAAGGGAACTCAGTAAATATACTGAAGTAAGGTATTTGTACAACCTTTGACTACCTTGTGCATCACCAGGGAAATGTGTTGCTTTTTAACTTAGTTTAAAACTCCTCCATAATAAAAAAAACTTAAAAAACCTTTCGCTTGTTGATAATTCAATAAATGCATGTTAACATCTTATTTTGTCTTTTATTATAGGTAATTTTTAAATTATGTTTCTGACTTGTATGTATTTACCGATATAGTCCTAAAGTAAACTTAATTGTTATGTTTCATACTGGGTAAAAAAAATCACATTTAAATACATAATATGTATGTTTCGTGTACATCTCTTTAAATCATATTCATATATCCACTTTATTGTATTTTAACATTTGTGGGAGCGACTGTACACCGTCATAAAGTCATGTCATACACAAGGGGACATTTTTGTCTTTCCAACTTGAATTTTGAATTTAGTTAACACTGCTCAAAGAAATGAAAAGGATATCAGTACACAGTTTGAAAGTGAGGATAAATGTCCCTGTATCGTGTTTCTGTGATTAATAAAGTTTTATCCTCACCTTATCGAGGATGCTCAGCACGAGGGAGCACACCTCCTCGTCGGCGTGCTCCCTCAGAAGCTCCGCCCTCTCCGGGTTCCCATTGGCCTCCTTCAGAATCCTCAGCTGCCAATCAAATCGCTCTAGCTGCTTCTGCAGGCCGACGTCCGGATCAGCTGACGCACGCGAAGCTGCAAGATACACAGAGGTGGGAAGTAGTTGAGTTCAAATACTTTGTTACTGTACATTTTTCTGGTATCAGTACTTTACTCAGTTGAACACAAATACCTGTACTTTCTACTTCTTACATGTTGAACACAAATACCTGTACTTTCTACTTCTCACATGTTGAACACAAATACCTGTACTTTCTACTTCTTACATGTTGAACACAAATACCTGTACTTTCTACTTCTTACATGTTGAACCCAAATACCTGTACTTTCTACTTCTTACATGTTGAACTCAAATACCTGTACTTTCTACTTCTTACATTTTGAACACAAATACCTGTACTTTCTACTTCTTACATGTTGAACTCAAATACCTGTACTTTCTACTTCTTACATTTTGAACTCAAATACCTGTACTTTCTACTTCTTACATGTTGAACCCAAATACCTGTACTTTCTACTTCTTACATGTTGAACCCAAATACCTGTACTTTCTACTTCTCACATTTTCCAAACAGGCTGGTTCCTTTAGTTTGAATGTGTGTTTGGTGGCGTGATCATTATTATTTAGAGTCATTGCGTGCCTATTGATTTGAACACGATCCGTGTATCCATCATTTCCTGGTCTTCTCTAAAGAAGAGGGACCAATGAAAACGTTGTCATGTTGCCGTTGTTCAGCATGGAAACATTCATTAGCTAACAATGACATTATTGTTCTATTAATATAAAGGGAGGTCAGGTACTCTTTAAAACAGATGGTAGTTATGGGTACTTTTTACTGAAGTACATTTCAAAGCCCTCTTTACTTTGACTTGAGAAGTTTAGTCAGTACTTCTACTTTCACCAGAGTATTTTTAAACACCAGTATCTGTACTTCTACTTGAGTAAAGGATGTGTGTACTTTTGCCATCTCTGATGATAAATAACACAGTATGAATAATACAACTCACCTTGGTGGCTACATCTCTGTAAATGTTATATTATTTTTATACTCACACTTCTGATAATTCCTTATGCTGATAGTTTTGGACATTTTGCATTAAAGGAATACTTCTAAAATCTGCACAGCTCAGTCCGTTTTATAAAATAATATTGAACGTATTTTGGATCCTCAGGTGTGTACTTGAGTGAGGGAGCTGAAGGGTTAAAAAAACACTCAACGCTCAGGAAGTGTTTCTGTTATCTAATTTGTACCTGTCAATTACATCATCCACATGTAGACACACGCGTTCACACACACACTCTCTCTCACACGCTCTCTCTCCTACACACACACACACACACACACACACACACACACACACACACACACACACACACACACACACACACACACACACACACACACACACACACACACACACACACACACACACCACACACACACACACACACACACACACACACACACACACACACACACACACACACACACACACACACACACACACACACACACACACACACACAGTTCCTCTCTCACACAACCAGTTATTTTACAAACATCTTCCTGAAGTTGTAGGAGTTTCTGTTCCCAGTGCTCTGTAACATCTGCACAGCAGTGACTCACAGGAAGAGGACGACACTCATTTTAATTAACGGTTTAAATGTGCTCCTAAACGAGTCACATGTTTGTCTCACTATAAAAACACAGCATTATAAAACCTTCAGTCTTCTGGATTTCTCTCTGCATCACAGCTCAGTTTTTAGGGATTTAACGACTCTCTAAACTCATCGTTCTGAAGGATTTTTTTTTTTACAAAAATTGGACAAATTATGAGAGAAAAACAATGAATTTGATCTTTATTTGGACATTTTGTTCAAAAGTTAGAATCTAAATCGTAATCGTCAGTCAATTTTTGCACTTTTTTCTGCAAAATACCTGCTTTTTTTTGTCCCCGGCGTGTCCCCCCGGTGTGTCCCCGGTGTGTCCCCGGCGTGTCCCCGGCGTGTCCCCCCGGTGTGTCCCCGGTGTGTCCCCGGCGTGTCCCCGGCGTGTCCCCGGCGTGTCCCCGGCGTGTGTCCCCGGCGTGTCCCCGGCGTGTCCCCGGCGTGTCCCCGGCGTGTCCCCGGTGTGTCCCCGGTGTGTCAGGGAACTCACGCAGCGTCAGAAAATAAAACCCTCTCTCTTTTCCTCCGTACCCAAATCTCTAAAAACGGGGGAACAACGGAGCTGATCCAGATTTGTGTCCGATATGACGTAATATCGGTGGCGGGCCCACGGCCCTATCAGAAACGTTGCTATATAACCGGCAAGAGAGAAAGCCTTTGAGCTCCATACTGTTTCAGAAAGAATCCTTGATAATCCATGATATGGCGTTTCATCACCGCAGTATTTAGTTTAGACGGTAGCTGCCGGGTCCCGCATGAGCTCAGACCCCCCCTTTTTGATTTTTTTTTATCAATTATTTTTTGTTTTAAAGCTTTATACCCAAATCAGCACTTTAGAAACAGGAAGTGAAACAGAGGGATATGAGGCATGGCTAGAATGGGTGATCTGTTTGGTATTTTGAGCAAAACACTTCATAGACATGTTTTTTATATATTTGTATATATCGGACACCTATGCTATTGCCTAAGAATAGCATGATAGGTGACCTTTAATATATTTGATATTATTATTACATGCCAATTTTTCTAAATAATGCTTTTAATAAAATATATCCCATTTTTATTCTAGAGGAGTCGGGTTTTGAGTACATGCAAGTGTTTGTATCCTCAATTCTGTCAATTATGGATATCTTTATCAGCATTGTTGTTTGTTGTTGTTTTTGTGTGATATTTTACAGTTTTGGTGTTTTTCCTCAATTCTTTGGAGTGTTTTTCTATATTTTGTGTTTTTTCCCAGTTCTTGTTCCCCTCTCACCTGCGACATCTCGGCGTCTCTGCTTCTGTTTCTGGTTCTTCTCACCCGGCTTGCCTTTGCTTTTCTTCTGATAACGACAGGAAGAGGAAAGTTTCAGTCACGGCATCGACACAAAAACAGCAGATAGAAAGAAAGTGTAAAAACACGGCTGGGAAAAAGCCTCGTTTGGTTAAAGTCAGAAAACACTTATTATTCATTATAATGGCTTGATTAATTGTTAAATGTTCTTTACAATGTCCACAAACTATAATTTATATTCAATTGGCTTCCGTTGTCCAATCATCAGTCAAACACAAACATATTAGGTTTTTTATAAACCTAAAAAAAACCGGGTCCCTTATTAAGTATTTGAATTCAGAAGCTGTAAACAGTACATTTGGGACATTTATCCGGCAATTAATTGATATAATGAATTGCTCTCGAGACAGTTGGACTTCTATTCGTAGTTTTAGTTCAAATATATGAAACAAGCTATATTTATATGTTGTTAGTTTTGCCCACATTTACTTAAATTCATCATTATTTTCTGTGTTTTATTATTCTGTTCACTGTGGGGCTTGATAGAAAAACCAAAATGAACAAGAGGGAGTCATTTTTATTTAAAGAAAAGAGGTAATTTTGAGGGTGAAATATTCCTTTAAAAGCTGGGATAATATTTGTTTTCTGAGCTCACAGTCTCCACACACTGGAGGGAACTTATCTCTTATAATAATAGTGATAATATGAAGTGCGTCAGGAACACAAAGCAGGGGGTTTACTGGAAACCAAACAAAAAAATAACACCAAATCTGATTTTTCCCACCACTTAGAAAAGACGTCAACTGTGAACATCTTACTTGACAAATAAAGTCTAAAAAGGAAGTAAAACAAGAGAATTTAACATACAATTAAGAATGAATTATGAGAAGCTGACAGAATTAAGAGAGAAAACATAAAGAAACCATTAAAAATGTACTAAAATGTAATTATTTTCTAAAATTATTCAAACATGAAGGACAAAAATACTTAAAGGTGGGGTAGGTAAGTTTGAGAAACCGGCTGGAGATACACTTGTTGTTATATTCCATGGAATGCTCTTAACATCCTGATAGCAATGAATATCTGAAGTGCTTTGACAACAAATCCATTAATAAATGTCATCTGTGGAAGCCGTGGTACTGTAAAAAGCACGACCAATCATCTGAGCCGGCCCGGCTAAAATAACTGGATGGCCTACCTGCCTGTCAGCCTTCCATCTGTGCACAAACTTATCTCGTGCCCTCATTGGTCATGTGCGCGTTCGTGTGTGTTGGAGGAGGGGCTCTGTAAGGAAGGGGCAGATTTTCTCCGGTTGTGTATTTTCAAATTCTAGCGATCTCGAGCCGGTTTCTCAAACTTACCTACCCCACCTTTGAATGTGACTCCAAATAAACATTTTGTCAAAGGATTTTATCTAAATCATCTGTAAATGTTGCACTTGTCTGCAAAATACTTCCTCTTTACTTCAAATATATCGTATATTTCTTATTGTTGTAAATTAAAGTATTTTATTGTAAAAATATTGCATAATTTTGCTGTCATTTATCATTTGTTTGATTTTTAAATATATATTTCTTGTACAGATTATTTTTCTTTTTTATAATATCTTACCTAATCTTTAAAATGTCCGTTTTAATGTCTCATGTGTTTATCCATCCAACAGAGTAATTCCCTGTATGACTAAACCGACTTGTAAATAATCATTATTTTCTGACCCTCGTTAGTTTCCACATTAACGACGCTGCAGATTTCCCTCGTTAATTTCTCCTCTTGCATAACTTCAGCTGCTCACAAACAAAAGGACTCTGTTTTCTCTTTGCTGCGAGGAACAGAAGCTCCGTCGCCTCGCTGCGTCGACACCACTCTTTATATCGTCTTAAATAATATTTATCAGGAGTTTGCATACTTAATGAATCTTTTTAAGGATGTCTCAGAACCCAAAGTAAGTCCTGGAGCGGCAACAACAATTATTTAACTATTAAAGGCTAATGTGATCATTATTTGGTAATCTAATAGATTAATGATTGAAGCTTTCGGGTGGTACAAACATCCAGACACTGTGTTTAGGAATCAGTAATCCTTTATCCTTCCCACAGCAAATACAATTATCAGTGATAGTGGACCAGAGAGCGCATTCTTTTGTCGACGGGGAAAACATTGCCTGAAATGTTTGTGTGACTCGGGAATCGAACCTGCATACCTCTCAGCGAACACGATAGTTATTATCAGTTTTCATTTATAGTGGTCATTTGGATACAAATCACACATTTAAATGCTTGAGAAATAAATTATCGTATCCTTTAATATCCATTTTATATAAAAAAACAAAACTGTATTTGATAAAAGATTTCGCCAAAATCACACTTTACGAGATTACATTTGAACACATAATGATCACGTTGTAATTCATCCAATAGCTGTCTTTACTGAATAGACCGAGAACGCATCATAATGTCATTAAGGGACCTCAGAATTATCTCTGCAATGTATTTAAATATATTTTTAGCTCAAATGAAGGCTTTTATTATGAAAGGTATAAGCGGAAATCACCGAGCGAAACATGACATGATGGGGTGCTTTTTTACAGATTAAAGAACCATAAACTTGGCTTTTGGCATCTGTTGTTTTTAAAGGTCCCATGACACGGCCATTTCTACTGATCATAATTCCATTGTTGAGGTCTACTAGAATAGATTTACATTGTTCAACGTTCCAAAATCACATTGGTTTCTCATACAGCATCTCTGTATAGTATTCACTCTCTGTCCTAAACGGCTTGTTGGAGCTCCTGCCCCCCCCCCCCCCCCTCCCCCTATGAGCCCACTGTGCTCTGATTTGTGTTTATGTGTTACAATGGTGTTTTTTAGCAACCAGAAAAGGACACCAGTAATGACAAACAGATGAGAATGCTGCGTGGGGTCTGGGTGTTGGCGGGACGTTGCGGGTCTCGCTGCTCCGCCCTTTGAGACTCGAGGAGCCGACAGTGTGAGCTGTATTACTGGTGTTGTTTCCTGGTTGCTGCGTGGGGTCTGAGAGACAGCGAGACACGGCGAAACTCAGCCTGAACTCAGCCTGAGCACACACACGTGAGTGTGTGGCGAACTGTGAGTGGAGATCCACGCAGCTGCAGCTGAGAAAAGATAAGGTGTGTGCCGGCGAAACTCTGCGGCGTATCGCGGCTGAGAAAAGATACGGCTGAGTGAGTGTGTGTGTGGAGCTCCACGGATTGGTCCATCTGTGTTAGAGTTTTACTCCCTACAGGGTGTACTTTAAGGGTTTGTGACTCTGCAGACCGTTTACATGCATAAAAACCTTCATAACACAAGGGGACGGGTAATAACCAGAAAAGCATGACATGGGACCTTTAAGTCGAACACATTCAATCCCGTGACAAAAAGACCAAAAAAACGTATAGGAGTGATTTTAGTAAGTGCCATGTTAGCTAACCTAACCTACCAACTAGCTATACAAGTAGTTCTGGAGGAATGGATATATCTAATAAAGATTTGTTAGCCGTTATCGCTGTTATTTAGCCAAAAAGTACAGCTAAAAGCTATCATTCTCTAACTTTCCAGCAGATATGATCACCGTTAGCATAGACTGGTTTCTGTGAGGAAGTTATCATTTCCTTTAATATCCAGTTTATAATACTGTGAAATATCTGGATTCATTCTCACCAAGAACTACATTATTTAAAGCGTTATAATAAACGTTTTCTCCAATACGTACTTTAACTGAATAGAGCTTGAACGCACCATTATGTTGCTCGATGGAACTTGTGTTAGCATTAGCTGTTAGGTCTGTTATTTAGCTAGCAGGACTTTCTGCTAGCGGCTAACAGCTAGCTAGATCTCCTGCAGATTTTAACACAGATGTTAACTATGCAACGTTTTAAGGAAATGAAAGAGCTTCCTCTCAGGTTCATTATTAAAATGCCGAGATCTTTACTGGACTGTTATGTGCATTGCAGCACACACACACACACACACACACACACACACACACACACACACACACACACACACACACACACACACACACACACACACACACACACACACACACACACACACACACACACACACACACACACACACACACACACACACACCACACACACACACCACACACACAACACACACACACACACACACACACACACACACACAAACACACACACACACACCACACACATCACACACACACACCACACACACACACACACACACACACACACACACACACACACACACACAGTATAAACACTTGTAAACTCACTGGACACCAACTTTATTTAAACTCTGAGCTGAAACAATAAATATCTGAAGAGAAGAAGAAGCAACAAAAAAGAAGAAGACGATGGTGGAGGAGGAAGAGGAGGAGGAAGAGGAGGAGGAGGAGGAAGAGGAGGAGGAGGAGGAGGAGGAGGGAGGAGGAGAGGAGGAGGAGAAGCATATGTTCCTGCAGGCGTTGCTTTTTAAAGAAACACCATAAATCACAGGCCTGTTTGTATAGAGGGGAGAGGTTTGCTCTTCACTTCAGAGTGGAGAGAAACCCGTCGACACCAAACTAAAAGGCTCAGTTTCTGCAGAGGAGGAATACAAATCTTACAAAATGTGATATTCTCCAAGACAAAAGTCAAACAATTAACACACAAAAACACGTTGGTAGTAGATTAGAGTTCCCAGTTCACATGAAAATGGTTCAAGTTGTTTACGTCACACAGAAGCAGCTTTAACGTTTAGCTGTTTTGGGACGAATCAGTGAATTAAAATCCTGATAAAAGCCGGCTGTTTGGAGGAAACTAAACAAAGACTACGACAACATCCGATTGTTTTTACCCAAATTAGGAGAACACGTCAACTGTGAACATGTTAACCGGCAATATTGTTGCCGATTAAAGGTTTAAAATGTAGTAAAAAAACTGAATCTAACATAATAATAGGAATAAATTAAGAAAAAGCTGATTAAATTAAGATAAAAACACAAAGAAGTATTAAAGGTCACCTATCATGCTATTTTTAGGCAATAGCATAGGTCTCAGATATA